CAAGCTTGCCAGTCAATATTGGGGGCGTTAAAGTCCCCGACAATAAGGACGTCTCTGTTCGAGCAGGTCTTGTTCAGTTCCCTTAGGAGAAGGCTATCGTGTTCGGAAGTCTGGTTTGGGGGACGATACACAACTGCAAACGCCAGCGGCCTGGCGTATTTAGTGGAGATAGTTAAAGGTAAGAATTCCACTTCCGCTGTTGTTGTTGGATTATGCTCAGGGACCGCGGTTAGGTTGTAGCTAACATAGACAGCGACCCCTCCTCCTCGGCTTCTCCTGTCTCTTCTGAACAGTTGGTAGCCTCTGAGGGATACCTCGTGGTCTCCAATAGCTTCAGAAAGCCATGTTTCCGTCAAGGCGATGATATCTGGCGTGTGCTCGTCGATCAGAGTCCTGAGTTCATCCATCTTGTTAAACAGGCTCTGCACATTCGAATACAGCACCTTTAGTGTCCGTCTTCTTGGGAGGAACTGGCCCCGATTACAAAGGGGGTTAGCCACAGGAACGATCGTTTGGTCTGTATTATCTTGCCTTCCTTTATTTTCAACCCCTTCTCCCCCTCTTCTGTCCTTCTTTTCAGTGTTCCTGGACAGTAGGAATGCGAGGGTGTCTATCAAGCTGACATCCAAATGTGTATTTATAATAACTTCTCCAAGTTATGCCCGGCGGTTTTAACAAGTTGCATGACCACTTGCACACAGACAGACAAAGCAAACTTATTCGAGTAGGCTCAGAGGAAATCGTATCAAGGCAGAATGACGTCAATCCAAAAAAATAGGAATCAAACGTTGAGTAGATAGAGGCCGGTCAGGACGACATGCACGCGCTAGCACGTCAGCCGGCAAAGAGTACTAGCACAGAGGATCTCAGTCAACACTCAGTCCTTTGAAAGCATGAGGTTTTAAAGACAATCATTTCACTCGAACAGGACTTCTCACAAACTCTTCCTAAGAGTGCAAAAACGCTCACTGAAGGTGAGATGCAGGGAGTACTTACCTGCCCAGCCTTCGGCGATCTGCCTTTACCGTGAACCAGGGCGTAGTCGATGTCGCACCCTGCGCCGTAAGCGCCCCAGACCGAGGTCGCCAACACCATGCCTCCAGTGCCCAGAAAGGGGTCCCACACCACGTCTCCGGGTCGGGCGAGGCAGGCATTGGCAATTATGCCGGCCAGTCGTACGTCCATGGTTGTATTTCCCAGGTAGGTGCGTTTGGAGAGATCAAACTTGCTCATCAGCCGACGACGGGAACTCTCGCCCACTAGGCGGCCATAAAAGACACGTTTTAACTTCTGATCCTTTTGGTTGGTGAGAGAGCGCGTGTAGTCGAAGAGGAGGTAGAGTTGGTACTGAAGGGTGGGAGGTGGAGGCTGTCATTTTAGATTTACCAACGTTCATAAATATCAAAGACGACGGAGTACGCTCTTAGATATGTCACAATGAATGTTAGGGGATAGTGAACTCTGAGCCCTCAAGTGGTGACAGAGGATCAAAGGAAGAAAAAGAGCAAGGACCTATATATGTTGCGGACAAGTCTACAGTAATAGGGCCGGATGTCAAAGTTTTCCAGTTTAAATCTGCTGACACTTCGAAAGACTGAGAGTCCTCCACTGCCACCTGTCAAATGCTCGGCGAACAAGTGCGTCAGGTGAACTACAGTGTGCGTGCATAGTTGAATGATCAAGAATCACCCAGGTTTACCGCTGGACTAAAGTGCGAGTAAAGTGGTTGTTGGTAAGAAAAATTACGGATTATTCTCAGTGGTATCAGGCCCCATTCAGGGCTTGGTCACTCTTATGCTCTTTTATTCACCAGTCGTCCCAAAACACGCAAAAAGGATAACAGAATTACAGGCCAATGGAGCATTCGTGACCATGTGTCAAGAGATTATAATGTTGATGGGGAGCGGCAGTTGAGGTTGGCCAGAGAGACAGGGTATAGGCTGACCTTGAAGAAATCTTACGAAGAATCAGCGTTGAGAAGTGGGCTAGCCGTGAGTAAAGAAAAGGATGGAAAATAAAACCGGGACCACGGATAATTAACAAGTACAGAGTACAAATGACGCATCCATACAATAATGAAAAGCAAGTCTACTTCCGTACCTCAGGAGACTTGAGAGAAATGGGCGCAGTGATATCCTTGTGGGTATCTAACAGGCGATTTATATAGTCCAGGCGGTCTTCTTGTGTCGTCTTTTTATTTACAGAGGTTACGTTGACCTTTATGGGAGCAGGTCCAGAAATGAAGGGTTCCATCAGCTTCTTCGGGACAAGGTTTATCTGGTTTGAAAAGGAGTGAAAAGGAGAAAGCACCAAACCTTGTCTAGAAGCTCCTCAAAAGTGCTCGCCTGTGCCCAGATGGAGTAAATTGACTTAATAAGAACACTCCGCTCGATCAGTTTATTCGCTTGTTCATCGTTTTGACAAGTGACCAGAATGTAGGGTTCATTCCAGTCAACATCACGGGCGATGCAGTCTTGATCAAGACCATTTAAGTCCAGAAGGGAACGGACTTCTAACTCCCGAAAATTGATGAATTCCTGTGCAGAAAATGATAACAGGTACTGCATCGCAGTCAGAGGATCGAGGGGATCGAAATTATAAAATTGAAATCCAGTAGCAGCAATGGGCGCCCGTCTAAAGATAAAAAATGTTAGTTAAGTCGGAAAAGACAAATCTACGAGCATGTGTACAGTTACCGGTTGAAATTAGTGTGACCTCAGCGTTACAAAGGGGGGTTTTTGTGAAACGCCGAGGCAAGAACTCCCTGAGTACGAAATTTCTTTAGTGTCTCATATTCACCTGTTTAAAGATAATTAAGAAAGCAGCAAAAACGTTTTCCACTTATTCGAACCCCCCCTCCCCCCCATAGTAAACGTTGGGCAGTGTCTTCTAGAAATACTACTATTTGGGATAGCATCAATGTTAACTTCTCTGGCTCCGGAGTCCGCGGACAGGGAAGGTCCTGGCCCCGCACAGCAGTGGGGCCGTTTTGATTTATAACCCTGATACACTCGATCGAGATGCGAGCTCAGAGACCAACCACGTCTGAGTGTATTACCGCTGGACGCTCTGTGACTACTTATTCGACAGACTCGAGAATTTGCCTATTTCGTCAAGTGCAAACTAGTAGGATGTTACACAGGTGGGCCGCATTTAGCAACAGTCTTTCAAGGTAGTTGTATTATTTAGGGCACATAGAGTACTTTAAATCGATTAAAACCCTATTTCCTGACTTTCTAAAATTTCCTACTGACGCATAAGTGTAGGTCCTTCTTCTAAAGTGGTGGCCAGACGGCAGACACTCAAACAGACTTTCTTTCTGAAATCATCCAACACTTGTTGTAATTCGATTCTTGGCCTAAACAATGGCTTA